TACCAAACAGATTACAGTAACCTTTTGTGATGTACAATTACTTACATTTGGTCAAATGGATTATCAGTAACTACCACTTTGTTAAAATAAGATAGCAAAATTGAATCACAATAGGCAAATTCAGAAACAAGGAAAAGATTTTTCATAAAATAATGAAATGTGACAGAACAACCTAACCTTTACCTAACCTTACTTTAAAATATTTAAAGCAATTACTTTTCAAAAGAATTACTGTGGGTAATAATGGAACAATAATATAAGAAACACATTTGTAAAATCTAATTTACAGGTGTAAGAGTTGAGCAAATTTTAAGTCAAAGTAAATTCTGCCATTTTACTTCAAAGTTTCACATAAGAGCTAAATGATACTTATGCCAAACACAATTACTCAAATGTATTACAGGAACTGCTGAAATCAACAGTATGATTTTTATGTACACAACATTAGAAAGACTTTGAAAGCCAATATGGACATTGCAGATGCACTTTTTAGAAAAACAACCACGCCTTCCATCGTACTGTATACTCTTCTTCGTACCAATAAAAAGATTTTAAGATATCTTAATGTAGATAAAAACCTTACTGTTATAAATCAATGGTACTTGGAATCTTTAAACAGTCTTATTTTTCCCAGTTGAATTTTCTTTAAATATTAAAACTGGACAAAAAGGTTCCTCTATTCTTTATAGGCATAAATTAAGGAATTTTTTTTAGACAGTGTAGTTAAAGATGCTTCTCAGATTATGTTTTGTAAATCAAGACAGTGAAAGCATGAGTTTATGCCAAAAAAAGTCATTTTGACATTTCAAATAAAAAGTACACACATATGAAACAAAAGCCCACCACTAAGCTTTCCATTCATGAATCATATCTGGAAATTAAGAAGTTGATGTGTGCTTGGAGGAAGAAAATAAGAATGCCAGAAAGTTATTCAGCTTTTTGTGTAAGACACTATGAAAAATTATGGTAGTTTAATATAGTGCAGGAAAGTTTTCTTGATAGTCTAATACCTGGCCTGAGAATCTGTTTAAGATACATAAAACAAGAAGAGTAATTCTCGTTCTCTCCACTGCAGAGTTTAAATCCAAATGTATGTAAATCCCAATTCATCCTCTCACACCATGAGGCCTGAGAAAAATAAATTGCAGACTCACCATATGATTAGTTCAAAAAACAGGCATCACCTTCTGCCAAAAAAACCCTACCAAAACATGTATGAATATTTTATCATTGCCAAATGGAGTTTAAGAAGAGGTGACCATAAAGACAAGTGACTTATAGCAATGGAAATATAAGCAAATTGAGTAAGAGTAATTCTAGAAAACAAAGTTAATAGGTCTTCCACCAACAACTCAAAACAGAAGCTTGCAACTTGCTACACCCAAGCACAGTTCTCTCTCAGACAGACTAACTGGCAGTTTCCTCCAAACAGGCTAAATGCCACAGAGAGATATTCCCTAAACGTTGACACTGCAATTTCATTACTCCTTGACTAATTGCAGCAAATGGGGTTCCTTTTTTATTTTTGCAGAACAGCAGCTTGAACTTTTTCCCTTTTGCATAAAGTAGAGAGAATTACTTCTGAGTAAACCACCCTCTCGGGTGCAGCGTACCAAAACATCTTGTTGTCCTCCTGAGTTCCAGCAGTGACCCTTGAGTGACTTGATCACTGCTCTAACATTGACTTTTACAGCCTAGTCCTGTTGCTAACAGCCTCTGAACTAATAGCCACTAAAGGAAAAATAGGGTACTAAGGCCCTTCCCTCAAAACAGTAGTAGTGCTGTTAGGTCTACCACTCCTAGAAATCTAGTTAATCTTACTATTTTCTGCATGAAGTCAATGCTTGGCATGTAATTCTACACTAAGCTTGCAATACAGCCTGTCACAAGGTGCTAGTTACTATTGCAGGAGCTACTAGGTTCTTCAGCACCAGACAGAACTTAATTATATATGGGTAAGGAACAGAAAAACATCCAGATAAAGGATTTCATTTTCAAGAATCTCACACATGGGGTAAAAAAAAAAAAGAACAAAAAACCAAACCACACAACAAAAAAACCCCAGTCTTTTCTTCCACAGCAAGCACCATTCTAAAGGAATTCTGTTTCTATATGGAAGTTGTAAATTGTCAGTAGGAAACACAAAGAACATACTTCAGAAAGCAATTAAAGGACATTAGTACATTGATCTTCATAATCACGTAAGGAGTGGTAAATAAAAATATCACAACTTCTATAAAGGACTGCTCTTCTGGTTAGGTACTTTGGCATAGCTGGCAGGGCAAAATGAATCACAAAAATATATGCAGTACTGAAAAACATTCGGTGATCATCTGATCTGACAAACAATACACCCTGCAATCAGAAGCACAAATGAATCCAAATTAGAAAAAGTAGGGATGAGGATCTTGAGAACCATCATTCAGAAACAAGACTTCTCGGTTCATCTCTTCAGTATTCTCAGAATGAAGCGGGGGGGACACCAAACCACCTGAAGTACAAGCTCTGGCCTGTATTCAGAGACTGAATCTAATGTCTCTCAAAGAGACGCTCTGAACAAAGAAAGTGAGTGGAAGTAGGATGGAGGTCCAAACTGTCTGAACTGTGTAACTCTTCCAATTCTTTCCCAGATTAACTTGAACAAGGCCCAACAAAAACTTCCACATCTCAAATCAATTCTGACTGAAAATTCAATACCAGATACAGAAAAGGCAGTTTTGCTTGTATGCATGGTTCTCCTCCTCCTTTTATAAATTAGAGAGATGAAATGGAAGCCACTTCAGGAGCAATACCCTGACCAAAAAAAAAAAAGGGTGGGGGGCCACACAAAAGAGGATGAGGAAATGACTAAACTGTTCACTGCACAAGATTTCCAAACTGTTGTCACATCCAACAGCCTCGTAAGTAGGGCTGACCTTCAGACCAATTACAGCTGCAGCTGAAACTCATCTGCATCTGTTTTGCTTTCCAAACCAAGCTGTTTGATAGGCTGAGCCTCCCGAAATAGAAGTCTGTCAATCTACTAGACTTGCTGTATGCAAAGACTGAGCAAATGTGCATCTGACAGGGGAGTAGTCTTTTAAGCGCAACTTTTGAACACGTACACTTCGTATAGGATGCAAAGTGCATTGTTATCTTCATAGTAGATTAAAAACTCTTAGCCTAACCAGTGTCAAATATTCTGAGTTATCAGACTATTAGATTAATCCACAAATGAAAGTCAACAACTAAAATTATCCACTAAATGAGTTCACTTATGAAAGTAACAAAAGCCATCCTTAGTTTTGGACCCAACAACTCCTTGAAGCAACAAGAAGGAAATGAGTAGTTAATAGACAACATACCCCTTTTATGGCTTCATCCCAAGAATATTTGAGAACATCAGAAGGAGGGGGAAAAAACCAAGTGTTTTAACATTACCATTATAAGAAGTATTTAGTCATCAGCTGCCCTGCTTGACAGAACTCACAAACAGGAATATATTAAAGGCACTCAGAAGAAAAAACTCTCAGAGGTTCTACTACATGTCAGATTTCTATCAGACATTCAACTTTAGAAGACTTGTTTCGTTCAGTCAAGAACAATATTGAACCTAGCACTGCAAGAAATCAGTCATTTTAAGTCTTAGGAAAAGTTCTGACCCTAAACCAAATGTTATTTCATCTTCGCATCACTACTAAAGAAGTATCCTAGAAACACTCAGCAGACTGCTCAGCATTTTCCCCACACCCCCTGGGAGCATGGATTCTGCAGGCACAGGTAAAATTACACATCGACTCTGAGATTACATGTACAGAAAACAAACTTTTCTGTCTCCTCAGAAAGTCCAGAGAACTACAGAATTAATCGCTTTATAGCCTTCAAGCTCCTCTTTCTTCTATAAAAGCTCTGTCCTTTCAAAAAAATTAAGACTAAAATTTCATATGCAATTCCAAATCAGTGCCAACAACAGCTTTAGATGCTAATTTATATATCAGAATAATAACCTTTATTAAAAAAAAAACCTCTAAAAATTGATAAAGAAAAATAGCAGAACTACTTAAAGTAAGATAGGAAATGTATTCAGTCATCATTTCTTCTCTCATACATCTACACACTTTGCTGTACCATCTTCTTAAGCAGTGCTTACTCTACTGAGCAACACGAGGTTACATGAGTGAACACAGAACAACAGATGTAAAGCAGAGGTGGTTCCTCATCAAATCCATGTACATGCCACTTCATAGGTGGAACATAAAAGAAGGATTTCTCACTTTCCAAACAAAGTCCTGACATCAAACTCTGAAGCTATAATACAGCAAGAGGCACATCTCTCCTTCAAATTAGTTATAAAAAATCCTTACGCACTACCTGACAGGAATAAGTTTGCTACAATCTTCCAAAATAGTACTGCAGCACACCCGTACAAGGATGAACACAACCCTCTTTTAGCATCTTACAACAACTCACAGAATGGAGAGATGCTGGAAAATTTCAATAGCGCTCTGATGCAAGGTAGAAATTCAAGAGAAATCCACTTGGTGCATTCTCACTCCAGCTGGAAAATTATAAAACCAACTCAAGAGTAAAGTACTACTCTGAGGCTGACAACAGAAAAATTTTCCAGGTAACCAGGCATTATTACCAATAAGACCTGCAGCATAATGCCAGAGACTAGTATATAAAGGAAAAATAATTTCTGTTTTCTTTTGGTGTACTGTGGACTCAAAATTAGGCCTATTAAAAAAATCACTTTAAACATCTGCTCTGTCAAAGATAATAGTAATCAAACCTGAAATTCAGAGGTAGCCATAATTACGAAGACAGCTTTCCAGACAACAGAATGTTCCTGCTTATTTACCAGTAAGATTAAACAGAAAAGGCTAATCTTCAAGATAAAAATACATTCTTAAAAGCCACTAAGTTAAATCATTATGAAGCAATTTTGAGCTTAGAAAAGTAAAAAGCTATCTCTCATCTACTAACAGTGAAAGTACTAACTGGCTTAGGCGTTAGGATACGTGTAGAGTTCCATGTATCTAGACTTTGCCATACTTTGTCTGGTGTAAACCTGTTGAATTCCAGCTCTTAGGTCATCCCATATCTGGTCAAGACCGATCTGTTTAAGTCCATGCGGGTTCTGACTCCTATTAGATGACATTTTGTATTTCCTGTAAAGTCTTCCAGTGCAGCAGCCTGAGATCTGGTTATTCCTCCATCAGAATCACAAGTCAAGTAACATTCTAAACTCAGTTGCAGCAACTCGGTGAGATATTCTTTATATACAAAGAGCGACGTTTCCCAGGAAGATAATCTACAAAAGGAAAAGAAAAAATACATGTTATATGACAGTCCAAATTCAGTCACACTACAGAAAAAGATACAAAATTAATTATTTCATTGAAACATTTTCATTTACACAGATGAGAAATCCATGAAGAGACCTGAACCACCAGAACCAAGGAACATAATTTTGCAATTCGGCAATCCACTACACAATGTGACTGTTAGTGCCCAGATCTGTCCAAGGCTTGTAGTACTTAGAGCTGCTGACAACAAAACCCTAATGCTAATAAGAAAACATAACAGTAAAAATATTTCCAAGCAGCAGAAACTATGCTACTAAGAACTGTTTCCTCCCTATACAACACTAAAACTCCAGTATTTCCAAACAACTCAAGAGTTCTGTGGTAACTCATTGTTTAACAAGAATACTGATGGGGATATCCAAGATTAACCAGAAGATACTAAAGATAACTATTTTTCTTCAGTTATCAGTAACTCTCCCAGACTTGAGATTCTATTACAGGTTGATGGTTGGACTGATGATCTTAGAGGTCCTTTCCAATCTTAGTGATTCCTAGTTTTTACTTTCATTAGAAATAATCCAGCCACCAAGCCAGGAAACATTAAATTGCTACTCTACCCTTAATTGGTTTACTGGTGGACTTGGTAATGTTAGGTTGGACTGGATGATCCTAAAGATCTTTTCCAACCTAAACAATTCTATGATTCTATGAAATTGGAAGTCCAAGATATTTTGGGAGCAGAGAATTTTTTTTATCTGGTAAATGCATGCTTGCACTAATTTCTTTGCTAAGTAAATGAACACCACTTCCTTCAATGTCATCCTACCAGCAAGAGAATATGCAGCCAATAATGGCGGGAAGAAAGAACAACTAATGGAGTGCACAAAATAAAGACTGCGTGAATTGCAAATGGAAGAATAAGAAACTAAGAAAATGCACTACTCCCATGAGTGCTTAAGCGCACAAAGTTTGGGAGGTAGTGAAAAGATGCTTATCAATTAATCAGCCTCGTGAAATGACAGAGTAGGAAAACAAGTCACCTGGAAAAGACTACTGAGAATATCAAGCAGAGAAGATCCATTTCTACACGTCCTTAAAAATAGTTTGCAATTTTAACATGCCTTGTCCACCACAGCAACAAAATTAAGGATACCTGACAATGACAAAGGAGGTAACACAATTTAAAAAATTAACCTGCAGATAACAGAGTTGTTGTAAGTCAGGACCAACCTACTCTTACTGAGGCCTTTCAATATAAAAAGGGGGCTTATAAGAAAGATGGAGAGAGACTTTTTACCAAGGTCTGTAGTGACAGGACAAGGGGCAATGGTTTTAAACTAAAAGAGGGTAGATTTAGGCTGGATATAAGACAAAATTTTTTACAATAAGAGTGGCGAGGCACTGGAACAGGTTGCCCAGAGAAGTTGTGGATGCCTCATCCTTAGAAGTGTTCAAGGTCAGGTTGGATGGGGCTTTGAGCAACCTGATCTAGTGAAAGATGTCCCTACCCAAGGCAGGAAGGTTGACTAGGTGATCCTTAAGTGTCCCTTTCAGCTCAAACCATTCTGTGATTCTGTACCCTAGAGCCCATGCACTGAAATACTCAAAACACAGTGAAACACATGACAACTTTTTGCCATGCTTCTATAGACAAGAATACAGCTTTATGATAAACCTGTCCTGTAAAGGAGCCTGCCAGCCAAGGCTCATATGAACCCTTCCATAATTTCAAGGATACTATAGGCCAAGACCTAATAAATCCTATTATTTGTTTTTGATGTTTGAGCAGCAAAGAACAAAGATATTCCTTCAGGATTTACAGTGTGTCATAGGTGCTTTGTCACAGCCACTTCTAGGCTACTGCATGTTCCACTCCAGGATTCACACTGTTTTAAAGATTAAGTATTCTGTTACACAGTCCCTGACCCCTGCCCAATTATCTGTGGACTTCTCTTCTGCCTTTTCTCCTTGACCCTAAAAAGGCCAGTTAAGATCGAGACGTTTCTTCAGTTTTTTTTAGTCATTGACTCTGTCTTACTGCAGTAACACAGAAGTTACCAGTCCTCATAGTCCTTTATTATCTATCACCCATAAGCATTTAAATCTCAATCTGTGAGTAGAAAACACTGAGAAGTATTTTCATTATGTCAATCTAAGCAACAAGTACTGTCTCATTTCAATCAGAACATAAACTGCTTCTGTAGCTAATTTTTCTTTTTACATGAGCAACAATTACTTAGAAGATTAGGTGGAAAACCAAGAATTCAATCAATATATATCTTATAAAATATACACTTAAAATTTAACCTTGCCATTCTGTTTCTGTAGTTACAGCAAACAATCTACAACTCTGACTGCAGTATGTATAACAAGTAACTGACCATTACCCTCTCATTAATCTGCAAAAAGCAAGCAGCCTAGAATTAGAGTGCATCTTAGTATAAATATTTTTGCATAACTAATACAAAATACTTCACTGCTATATGAAAGTTCATAACAAAAGGCCAACCCCTTGCTAGCTAGCAGAAAGCATAATAACAGGTGCAATAGTTCACAACTGGGCCAGGGTCCATTCCCAGGCAGCCCACGGAGAACGGCAACAACTGGAGCTCTTACTCGGACATCTCTCCAGGTGCCATGAAGAAGCAGCCACCCTTCCAGTGCAAGCCTGGGGTCACCGGCTGCCCAGAAGATGTGGAGTTTCCCCCTCTATGACGATGGAAATATTTAACTTTCTTCTCTAAGCATCTCCTAGTTTTTATGTACCGTGGTGCATCTACAAATACTACCTTTTCCCACAATCTGTTAAACTCAAGATGTTCCCCATTCACACTGTACTAATTTTCCCTCCCCTCCCCCTAAACTAACCCTCTGTATTTAAGTCAGGACGTAGCCATTAAAAACAATGCCATGAGAAAGAACTTAATTTTTATTTTCTCATGCAGTCCACTACATAGAAATATCTTTTCTTTGTAAGCAATGAATTCCACTGCATTTGACAGCATTACCTCACTATTCCTTGGCTGGCTTTCAACTTGAATTTCACAATTAAAGACATGAATACAGAATGATAGCATCATGTCACTAACCTCCTAGACTCAAATAATTTACTTCTTCCAGTTAGTTACTACTTAACACAGCTGGGAAATAAAGCAATAGGTGAATAATGCTATACACTACTACTAATTTTTTTGCAGATTTATTCATGTGCAGGAAAACAGAAAGGTAACTATTAATGTATTACCTTAACAGTATTAAAGTTTCACTACATGAGAATACTTTTAACTACAAAAGCATATTTATGAAAGCAACCATTTGTACTTAGTGGTTAAACTAAGCTATGCTGTTACATGTATACAGAGAGGAGGGGTAAAACAAGGCTTTGTTACTTGGCACTGTTGTTGTTATACACGAACACCCAGTGAAAATACAAAGTTCTATTTCTTGTGAAAAGTGTAAGCATAGTTTTCAAAATTATTTTTGTGATTCACGCACAGAAAACCTCTCCTAGGCAAACAATTCTGGAAGGTCAAATCTGGTCCACAGTAGTTACATGGCAACTCTTTACCCAATGTCCCAATTGCTAAACTTATACAGAGGGAGAAAAGAGAGTTTAGAACTCTGTCATTTCTCAGTGTCCAGGCTGTGCGCAACTGCCAAGAGCAAGGTGCCCTCCCAAGAACCATGAATTGCTACAGGTGAATTAAAACCTCAACATTAAGTCACAACCTTTACATCAGTGAGATCTCTCACCTTCCAGAGTGCCGTCGGCAAGACCATGCACAAGTCAGCCTTGAACTGACCATCACTGCGGTTTCTCACCCAAGCAGATCAAACTTACTGGTGAGCTGCTTCATGGACAGGACCACCTGCCCGAGTTATAACATCCGCTCTGTAGCTCTGGACCAGAGAACCCAGACTTCATTATATCTTCAGGACCAGCTATATTTACATGAAAAAAAAATTACCCCTGCAGTTTCCAGCTAATATATACACAACATGATGCAGCAGTATGACAGTGTTCAATGCCATCCTTTCAACCTGTATTCAAGCACTGCAATTAAAACACTGTCAAACAAAACGGTCATTTCTGCCCATGACAACTGTCAAAAGGAGGCAGTATTTCTGCCAAAACTTTAGAACAGCCTTGAAGGACAGAGGGAAATGCTATTGCCTCCTTTTCATTACTGGGGGGACATGACATGACACACCTCATAGGCAAGGAAACACATCGCATCAGAAAACAGTGGTTTTGGTTTTACTGATCGTCTAATAAACAGACAGAGAGATATCTTTTAGATATCCCATCTGACGAAAATGATGTGTATGCCAAATAAGGCCTATAAAAAAAATCTGAAAGTTAAGTCTACTTTTATCTAAAAAACATAATAAAACCCACAAGATTTACAGCATCTCAAGCTATCTGCTGGAGCAACTACCTCATTTTTATGTCCTAAAATAACGTAACTTTCAGCTTCACAGCTCCAAGGCCTATGCATCACCTTTTGCTCTCCCACAACTGCTTATTTCTAAACTACAGATTTCAAGATAGCTTAACTTCAAATTCTATCTGCAATTATTGAAGTTATCAGCTTCTTGGCCCAGAACTTACAGGTTCAGAGCAAGGTCTTCCAGCTGACCCAAGGGCCCAGATAGCATTTTTTTGAAGGACACACTAGAGGCACAGGACCTAGACTTAGTCATTTCCAAGTATTTTATCCCTTGTCTAATTTCAAACATGAGAACATTCTTGTCACGCCTAATAGCATGAGCTAAGGTGACCAGATTTAATCATACTAAAAACAAAACACATTAGGGAAGAGAAGCAAGTTTCACTAATAAGCTACCGTGGAATGAATGCCATTAAAAATAAGTTCAAAGACCTTTAGTGTTACGAGGTTTCCGAAGTTTACAAGTGTGTATTAGAAGTCAGTTTCACCGCTGTACACTGCCTCAAATCCATTTGCTAAACCTGAATGCAGGTTTCCCAGTAACAAAAATACAGT